CAGTAATGCGAAAAATACAGAAAAAGCAAAAAAATTGGTTTGTAAACAGCGACTCTATGGCTCATGACTCGCTTGTTATTAGGCCGATTTAGAAAAGACAAAATGCACTTTAAAGCCGGCCAGTTTCTACAAGTTCCGGTGTTTCAGCAGTTAAAATCGAAAACTTGGAAAAAAAAATTGAAAAACCTGTTAATTAAGCTAGAGTTTACATAGAGTCAGAGTTTTACGCGAATTTTTGTGAACTTAATGCGTTTGTTTCGTCTACATGAAACTTTTGCATGAATTTGACAAAAAAATAGTTTCAAAATAGCGACTCTATGACTCGATAACTCGTTGTGATTTTGGAAAACGCAAATGAACTTTAAAGAGTCAGTTTCTCTAACTTTTAGCGTTTTCTTGATTTTGTAAAAAATCATGGAATTGCAAAAATGTCGAGAACGCAAAAGGTATAGTTTGGAAACAGCGACTCTATGTCTTATAACTCGCTTGCTATTGGTCAGATTTTGGAAAATCAAAATGCATCGTTAAGCCGCTTGGTTAATCAAACTTTCAGCATTTCTATAATTAAGATCGGGTAAAACGGTGGGAGTTATGAGAACAATGTCAAAAACGTAACAAAAATAGTTTGGAAACAACGACTCTATGGCTCATACCTTGCTTGTTATTGGACGGATTTTGAAAATTCAAAATGAACTTTAAAGCTGCTTGGTTTCTGAAACTTTCAGCGTTTGGATCATTAACATGGCATCAAAGCCTTGGAACTTATGCGAAAAATTACAAAAATGCAAAAAAATTGGTTGGAAACAGCGACTCTACGGCTCATAACTAACTCGTTTGTTATTTGTTGCATTTTCAAAAATCAAAATGCAATTCAAAAACGCTTGGTTTCTCAAACTTTCGGCGTTTCGATCACTTCAATTTGGGAAAAACCCTAGAAGATATGCGTGAAATTACGAAAAGGCAACAAATAGTTTGGAAACAACGACTCTATGGCTCATAACTCGTTTGTTATTGGTCAAATTTTTAAAAATTAAAATGCACTTTGAAGCCGCTCAGTTTCCCTAACTTTCAAAGTTTCGAACACTAAAATCGCGTAAAAACCCTGGCAGTAATGCGAAAAATATCGAAAAAGCAAAAAAATTAGTTTGGAAACAGCGACTCTATGGCTCATAACTCGCTTGATATTAGGCCGATTTAGAAATGACAAAATGCACTTTAAAGCCGGCTCGTTTCTACAACTTCCGGTGTTTCAGCAGTTAAAATCGAAAACTTGAAAAAAAAAA